CTGGTGACAGGTGAGGGTAGTAGATTACAACATTCCCATTTTTCTCTTATAATAAAAAGGCATGGAGTTAGGCATGGCAAGTTGAGAAGATTGGGATGACAGGTTCTCAAGACTGCTTTCTGTTTATTTGTGGGTATAGAAGTCTTTCTTGGAGGGCCTGAGAAAACTTGGTGTTGGTCATATCCTGGGGTAGCTGGACACTTTACTCTGTCCAGGACTTGTGGTATGGAACTGTCCATTGTCTCTTGGACCTGGCGAGATGGTGGCAGAGCAGAGAATTAAGTTGAGTTTAGGAAGAAAAAAAAATTTCATGACCAGGGAATTGAGAGTGTATTGGACCTCTTTAAGTTGGATTTTTCAATTCAGCTCCTTGGAATTCACAAGAAATTTTTGAGTTTGTGGAAACACAAGTTTTAGACATATACACTGCATAAACAGCAGCATATTTATACCAGAATGATTATGACAGATGGTTTTCCACAATGACAATTATCTTTAGAGAATGACTAAAGAAAAGTATGAAAAGCAATGTGAGAAAGAAATTTGATGACTTTCATTTGTCCTCATACTTTCATGGCTTGCAGGTACACACCTTAATAACTTGCATTTGTATATCTTAAAACATCTTTTATTTAGAACATTTTAAGAAGTTATACTGAAATTTGTTTGGTGAGGTCCTTTCAATCTGACAAAACAAAACCATTCAGCTGTCAAACTGCATTGGAGATCTTTGAGAAGGATAAAATTTTACTTGAGTTATTAATTAAAAGATAACAGAGGATTTACTCTATTGGCTATCTAGGGCTATTCCTCTGTGGTTATCGACAGTAGGGACATCGGCACTGTTTTTGACTTTTGCTGTTTAGTCCAGGTTTTAGAAGAACCTGTGGATTAGAAAATCAGTAGGAACACAAACCTATCTCAGTCCGAGGAGCAAGGAAGTAAATTTCATTTGATTCTTTGTCCACATCTGGAGATATTCAGTTTAGATAAAAGGCAGTTTTTGCCCAGTGGTTAGTGCTTTCACTTGATGAAGTGAATTGTGGATGAATGATATTCTGTGCCCATCTGTTTTCTGTCTTCTTTGGAGGAATTATACTGCTGCTTGCTAAGAGTCAATATGTCACTCTGTTATGAAAGTCTTCTAATAATTAATCATTTAAGTGCCATATTCCTGGTGTATGAGGTTCTTCTGTCCATGTGTTGCTTTCATTGGTTAATGAATAAAGAAACTGCCTTGGCCTAGTTGTTAGGGTGGAACTTAGGTAGGCAGAGAAAACAGAACTGAATGCTGTGAGGAAGAAGGGTAGAGTAAGAGAGAAGCCATGGATCCTCTGCCTAAGATAGATTCTGGTTAGAATCTCTGGTAAGCCACTGCCACATGGTGATATACTGATTAATGGAGATGGGTAAAACTAATATGTAAGAGTTAGCCAATAAGAAGTTAGAGATGATGGCTTAAAAGTAGCTGTGACAGGTCATGTAGATGGCTAGGGGTGGAACTTCATGTGGAGAACCTGCCGCTGGTACCCTTTGGCTAAGGGCAGAACCTCATGAGTTTGTGGCTCCTCCCTTTGTTAAGCTCAAAGAAAATGGTGGCAGCCATGGCTGACCTCATGGTGTAACTCTTTAAATTTAACCATCCATTAGTAGAAGCCTATTTCCCATAGGTGAGCCAGAAAACTAAAAGAATTGCTCAAGCCATTATGTATTCATCCACAGATAAGGGGATCCAAGAAAAGGCAGTTACCCAAGGGGTGCTAGGCTAAAAGGGAACAGTTTTACCTTAAAAAGATCGAGAAGTCCAAGGGGCCCTGGGTCCAAAAACAAATGCACTGCTCAGTGAGAGCAGTGCTAGGGAGAACCTGAGAATCTTGCTCATGGGAAAGGCCAAAGATAATCTTACCAATTGTCTCAGCAGACTGATGGAAAGTTAGGAAGTGGGCTGGTAAAAGATCCAGGTCTAGGATTTTCATGTGTCTTGGACCTTATGCCCATAGTACAGCCATTGCAGAAACAAGACTCCATGAATGGAAGAGAGACAGACTCCACCACAGTGGTGGAAAGCAGCATAGAGAAGCACATGTTGGTAGGACAGAGTGCCCAGTACCCCACAGCTGGCAAGCCCCAAAGAAAATCACACAGAGGACTCTATAAGAATATAAACTAATTGGCCCATTAACTCAGGCATCTCATTAGTTCTTGTAGCTTATATTAACCCATTATTCTTATCAATGTTAGCCATTTGGCTTGGTACCTTTCTCATGGGGACAGCTCACATCTTGCCTCTTTAGTGATCTCCGTAGAACTGGACTGCGGAAGGAGCTTCCTGCATCCCAGCATGCTCCTGTTCTCATTGCCCCACCTCTACTTCCTGTCTTGTTGACCTACTTCTTGTCTGGTCAATCAGCATTTATTAAGACATAATTAACAGATCTCCCGCACTAGAGAGGGAAATCAGAGAAACTTCACCTTTCACGATAGCCACAAAGAGCATAAAGTATTTTGGGGTTACACTAACCAAGGAAGTGAAAGATCTATTTGACAAGAACTTTAAGGCTTTGAAGAAAGAAATTGAAGAGACCACCAGAAAATGGAAGGATCTTCCATGCTCTTGAATGGGTAGGATCAACATAGTAAAAATGGCAGTGCTACCAAAGGCAATCTATAAATTCAATGCAATCCCTATCAAAATCCCAACAAAATTCTTCACCAACCTTGAGAGAAAAATAATCAATTATATATGGATAAACAAAAATCCCAGGAAAGCCAAAACAATCCTATACAATAAAGGAACTTCTGGAGGCATTTCCATTTCTGACTTCAAACTTTATTACAGAGCTACAGTAATAAAAACAGCTTGGTACTGGCATAAAAATAGAGATGTTGACCAATAGAATTGAATCGAAGATCCAGATATTAACCCACAAACCTATAAACACCTGATTTTTGACAAGGGAGCTAAAAGTATACAATGGAAGAAAGAAAGCATCTTCAACAAATGGTGCAGGAACAACTGGATATCAATTTGTAGAAGAATGAAAATACATACATATCTATCATTATGCACAAAACTCAAGTCCAAATGAATTAAAGACTTCAATATAAATCTGACCACACTGAACCTGATAGAAGAGAAAGTGGGAAGTAGATTGAAATAGATGAGCACAGGAGACCAATTCCTACATATAATCCCAGTAGCACAGACAACAAGAGCAACAGTGAATAAATGGGACCCCCTGAAACTGAGAAGCTTCTGTAAAGCAAAAGACACTGTCATTAAGACAAAAAGAGAACCTACTGAACGGGAGAAGATCTTCACCAACCCCACATCAGATAAAGGTCTCATCTCCAAAATATATAAAGAATTCAAGAAGTTGGACATGAAAATTCTAATTAACCCAATTAAAAAATGGTGTACTGAACTAAATAGAGAATTCCCAGCAGACAAAGTTGAAATGGCCAAAAGACACTCAAGATCATCTTCAACCTTCTTAGCAATCAGGGAAATGCAAATCAAACCAACTTTGAGATACTCTCTTACACCTGTCAGAATAGCTAAAATCAAAACACCAATGATTGCTTATGCTGGAGAGGATGTGGAGTAAGGGGAACACCCATCCATTGTTGGTGGGGATTCAAACTTGTACAACCACTTTGGAAATCAGTGTGGTGGTTTATCAAGAAGTTGGGAATCAATCTACCTCAGTATCTAGCAATACCACTCTTGGGAATATACCCAAGAGATGCTCAATCATAGTACAAAAGCATTTGTTCAACTATGTTCATAGCAGCATTATTTCTAATAGCCAGATCCTGGAAACAACCTAGATAATCCTCAATGGAAGAATGGATAAAGAAAGTGTGGAATATATACACATTAGAGTACTACTCAGCGATAAAAAATAATGACATTTTGAACTTTGCATGCAAATGGATGAAAATAGAAGAAACTATCCTGAGTGAGATAATCCAGACCCAAAAAGATGAATATGGTATGTACTCACTCATTAGTGGACTCTAGCCATAAACAAAGGACATTAAGCCTATAGTTTGCAAGCCTAGAAAAGTCAAATAACAAGGTGAAGCCAAAGAAAAACATTTATAGATCCTCCTGGAAATTGGAAACAAACAAGATTGCCGGGCAAAACTTGGGGATATAGGGGTGAGGGTAGAGGTAGTGTTGGGGAAAGGGGAGTGGGGAGAGAGAAGGGAGAAAGGAAAGACTGGAGAGAGTCTGGGGGAGTGGGAGGGTGGAGATGGAGGAAGGGCAGATATAGGAGCAGGGAAGAAGATATCTACATTAAGGGAGCCATTTTAGGGTTGGTAAGAGACTTTGCTCTAGAGGGGATCCCAGGTGTCCACAGGAATGACCCCAGCTAGGTCCTTATGCAGCATAGTAGAGGGTGCCTGACCTGACCTTGTCCCACTACCACACTGATGATTATTTCGAATATCACCATAGAATCTGGCACCGCACGCCACCACCGCCACGCTCCCAGCCGCCTCAGCACCACCGGCCCGCCTCAGTCAGGGCAAGTTCTCCGCGGACCGGCATCTGTGTTTTTGCGCCTTTCTCCCGAAGCCCCCGCCCGGGAGACGCCGGAGTCAGCTAGGAACCTAGCACTCCCACCACTTCCGTAACATCCAGACCTTAGCTCGCCCTTGTTACTATGGCAACCTAACTTTCCGCAGATGCCTCGGCAGACTCCAGCAAATCCTTTCCGGCGTGCTCCAGCAGAACCGGCTCCGCGGCCGCCTGTGCCCAACATTCAAACATGTATGTGAGAGCCAGGCATTGAGCTCTCTCATCAAAATTAGGCGAGATCACCTCAAAAAGCAAACTGTTATGATTCTGTGGCTCTTTAAGAACAGAGAAGGCAGTCCCCAAACACGTCTGCCTCCCTACAGAACTGCAGCCCCCAGTCTCTAGCAGCTGTCTCCTGCAAAAACTCCTCCAGCACTAAACTTATGGGGTTTTTCTTCCCCCCTTTGGTTACCTTCTTTGGATCCTTTTTCTTTGATTTTTCGTGTCGGGTTCTGAATACTCGGCTCTCTGTCTGGTTTTTCTTGTCCGGCGTCTCGGGGTCCTGGGGTCTCGGGTTTCTGGCACCAGTGGTGGGGCGCTGCTGCTTGGCCAGCAAGCAGAAGCAATCACGAAATCGAGAATCCTTCCCAAATCACGCCTTTATTGGAGCCCTCGGTTGAAGGGGGAATGGGGATGAGAGAGGGAAGGAGCAGGAGAAGGTGGGAGGGAAAAGGTGAGAGAGAGAGAGAAAGACCCAGAGGCAGCTGCTTTTAAAGGGTGGAGGGACTCGGAAACTGTCCTGATTGGTGAATACCATTCTGCTGGTGCCCGGTGGTTCGCGATAGGCTAGGGAACCAAGGCTCAGTTGTGCATGTGCAGGCAAGGGCACTCAACCCCACGTGGCTATGCCAAATATGGACTTGTATACCTCCAAGCTGTAGGACCACCTGTGCCAACTCGTAATGACGATTTCTCCAGGTGGCTCCTTACACCTGGTTCTTCCACCCAGTCTCATTTCCATCTCTCCAGACATTGCTCCTCCACCCTCACTGCCATTGGTCCAGCTCCTGATCTGCCTCACCTGAACTCCCCAATTGACCCTCATTTGCCCCCTTGCATTCCTGGATCTTCCCTGCCTTCCTCACCCCTTGCAAAGCCTGTCCTTACCCTCTGCATGCCTAGCCTCTCAACCTGCCCTTCTCTCTCCTGCCTGATCCCTGGGTCTCCCTCAGATTCCCTCCTCCTAGACAGGAGGGGTGTGGCCAGGACTGGGGCCAAGTCCCGAAGCTGCCCCCTCCCCTTTTTGTATAATTTAATAGCGAAATGGTAGTGCTTCTGTTTTTTTTTAAAAAAAAATTCAAAGAACACAATAATATACATAATCCAGACTCCCTGTGAATATTCCATCTTTACGTGGCTCATTGTTTTTTACTTTTTAAATCTATTACTGTCTGTACTCTGTCTCTTTAATCATTTTGTTTTATTTTTTTAAAACAGTTTACTTTTTTCAACTCTCTATACTCTTTTTTTTCTCTCTCCCAAGCCTATATACATTTATCCAACAATGTGACCCATTTAAAGGTCTGTATCAGTCTTAATCTGTTTGTATTGTGTATCTGTAAGCCTTTTCTGACCAGGAAAGATTCTTAAAATGCTAAGGACTTCTTGAAAATTTAAGCTGTGACAGTGATAAGGGTAATATGGCATTTTCTGCTTTCCCCACCCAGTCCAGCATGGTGGAGCCACCAGCTGTCTCTTAGAGCCATGCAAATTGCCCCATCTCTATGTTGGTCTATGTTGCCACCAAGCAAGCCATTGTATGATGCTTACAAACCCCATTCAAATGCTTGGTCACCTGAAAGAGCCAGAGGTCACGCCGGCAGCTTGGCTAAGAAAGCCAACATTTCAAAACTGCAACTCTTTTTCCCTGCTACCACTGAATCAGAAACTCCTCTCTTAAAGGAGCTGTGGAAAGTCGTCAGCTGAAAAAAAATGTGGCTAAACTTTGTGTGTGTGTGTTTGTGTGTGTGTGTGTGTGTGTCTATAGTTCCTTTCCAAGCCCTCTAATGTTTTACATTGATTTAGTCTACCACATTGGCTTGTCAATTTGTTGGAGCAGGCCACTTGTTCTTCCTGGCAACCCAACTAACTTAGACCTGAAATACTCATACAGATACTGTATTGATTAAATCACTGCCTGGCCCATTAGCTCTAGCTTCTTATTGAATAACTCTTACATATTAATTTAACCCATTTTTATGAGGGTAATCCCACATCAGACCAGTATCTTGGTGAAAACTGATTGATCCTCTCCCATTAACCAATCAGCACAGTTGGCTCAAGCACTGAATTGTTTTTGTGTTGAAGTGATGGAGAGAAAAAGCAATCAAATGTAGAAGTGAAAGAATTATGAAGAGGAAAGTCTTGGGAGATATCTGAGGACTTGTTCTTTGATTCCAAAGTCAGCTTTAAAGAGTTCCAAGAAGTTATGTTTTTGTCACAGTCACTTGTATTATTGTTGAGACAAAATACCCCGACAAAAGCAACTCATGTTAGAAAGAGTGTATTGCAACTCTCAGTTCAACAGTGCACAACATCACTGTGGGGAAGTCATGATGACAAGAACTGAGGTAGTTCTCACACTGTATCCAAAATCAGGAAGCAGAGATGAGTACTCAATTTTCTTCCTCCTTTCTGTTCAGTTTAAAACTACAGCCTGTTGAATGGTGTTGTCCACATTTGGGATGGGATCTTCCCAACTCTGTTAACCTGATCTCAACAATCCCTCAAGACGTTTGCTGGGAATTGTCTTCTGGGTTATTCTAGATCCTATTACATTAACAATAATCATAAGCCACCACAAAGTATCACACTGATTCAGCTTTTGCTGGTGTCAGTTTTAAGACAGGTCTTACATTGGGCTCATAGTCTGAGCTACTAACATTGAACTCATGATCTCCAGAACCATTATAAATAGCATTACTTTTTTATTTTTCAACAACTCCCTCTGTTTCTCCTCATTTAAAATCAAAAATTTCAATTAGAATTCAAAGAAATGGCTTTCATTGCATCATTTCCAACAATATCTTTTAATATACTTTGTTCTCTTTTGTTCCCCTCTTCCCTGTCCTCCCTATGTCTTTCCTCGCTATTCTCTCCAATCTGAAAACAGCTGTTAAACTCCATTGTTTCTTCTACTTTTATCTACCTGTTTCTGAATCACCATTTCAACTGTGACTTTTCTTTTACACGCAATTAAACCTCAGAACATATATTTGAAAGAAAAAAGTACCACCAAATTGGCAAGATTTCCAGTTAAATTATGGACTCCAACTGCTTCGACTACTATAATGTTTTCACGTCACTTTCAAATACTTTGGCAGGTAATATTTTTCAATATAATTATCAGAAAAAAATCTTATTCTAAATACCCAAAGAGAAACCTCTCTGATATTTCTTCTCTTTGAACCTATCATCCACCTAAGAATAGGTAAGTTTAACCTGAGCCCATTATTTAAAGCTGATTATTACACTTGTATATTGATAAAAGCCATGCTGTCACCCCTGGGAACAGTGCATAAATGTTTTGTGAATGAATCTTCTTAAGGCAAGACTCTTTGGTAAAACCCATTCACCTTCCAAGGACCTGTGGAAGTGATGCTGCTAACCCACACAGTGATCCTAGGAAACTCATGGGCTTCAGGACTCTCTAACTTTTGCTATGCTTATTAGGTAATTCTTAGTTTTGCTTTGTTAGTTGTGATTACAGTTGAGTTTACTGGGAATAAAAAGTGATAGTTTTCCTAAAATTTTTTTCAAAGAAATTAACCTTCTGTGCAATCAGTCACCGAATCCGGCTTCTCTAGTCATGCCAGTTTACCTTTGCAGTCATTCTGAGTAAGCAGGAGGAACTTATTAAGATTAATGATTCTTGTTTACATAACTATCCAAAAAGGGGTTAACTGTATTCCAAAGACCCTAAGAACTGGGGCTATGGTTTCTTTAAAGATTACATTAAAAACTAATAGGGACACATAAGGGAAAGGTGAAGGATATGAAAGGTAGACATCCCTGTGGTGCCAGCAAATTAATAACCAGCTATATGTGTTTTACTAGTTATAAATTCTCAGCTCCCTTGGAAGTAAGAAGTACACTTACAAACTGCCAGGAAGAATAGAACTTTAGTCCCAATAGTTAAAGGGTTAGGTAATCATTATCATTTTGAGAATTTATAAAGAATACAATTATAGCTGGTTTCCACATGAAGGTGATATACAGTCTATTTAGAAATTGAATTGCACATGGAAGTAATATCCTAACAGAATCAGATGATTACAGAAATATAAAAGTATCACATTGATAAGGACTAATAATAAAAGTTGAATCTCTTATATTTATAAGCGCATGCTTGCTGCCAGCTAGGGCACAGTATGAAGAAAATATGCCTGGCTGGATGTAATCATGTGGCTTGTAATATAAAAATCAATAATATGGGGTAATGACATAAAAGAAGCAGGGAGGAGGAAAATAAACTAAAATGGGCAAATATTAATGATTCTTGGAAAATGATTACAGAAAAATTAAACAGGATTGAAACTGCTCATGCTTGAATGCATCAGAACTCATATGGATAAAAAAAACTTGAGGCATTCAGTGTCATCTGTTTGAAAGACAACCCGTAGTCAGACTCTTCAATTTTCACCAATTTCACACCTCTGACCTACAACTCGGAACCCTGCTAGGGCTGGCCTCTGGAAGTCTATATGCCTCTCAGTACCAAGTAAACTTCTGGACTGAATCACAGATTCCTGGAGAAAGAATACCAATACCCTGCCACAAGGATTTTATATCACTTATGGAATGGATGAATGAATAAATTATTTTCAATCTTTAAAATCTCACTGATGCTCTCTACTAAATTTTGAAATGAGAAGGCTGTGTGTATAGCTCGGGAACAGAACACTTAACTAGTAAGTGCAATACCCTGGAATTTGATCCCTAACACCACAAATATTTAAAACTTTTGAAAGGAATATACACCTTCTTGTTTAAAATGAACGTAATTTTTATGTGCTTGTTTTCTTATGTTTATTTATTTGATGTGTGTGTATGTGGTGCATGAATGTGCATGTGGTGTGTGTGTGTGTGTGTGTATATTCACATGCACACAAATGTGCACATGTGACCATAAGTATTGTCTGCTCTGTTCTCAAAGAGGTTAGAGGAAGACAGATAGGAAGTGTCTTCTAGCTCTTTCCACCTTGCTCCTTTGAGGCAATGTTTCTCATGGAAGATGGATCTAGGATGATGTCTCAGAAGCCCAAGCAATCTTCTTCATCTCAACCTGTTAGTGGAGCTATTTGGGAATGAGTGAAGGCATGGCCTTGTTGAAGGAGGTGTGCCATTTTCAGTTAGCGCTCTATTTCTCTTTCTCTCTATGTCTTGTGTTTATGGATCAAGATATAAATTCTCAGCTACCATCCTAGTATCATGCTTGACTGCCTGCTGCCATGCTCCTTGTCATGACAGTCATGAACTCTAACCCTCTGGAACCATGGGCCCCCAAATCAAATGCCTCTCTTTATAATTTGCTTGATCATGGTGCCTCCTTACAGCAATAAGAAAGTAACTGAGACAGGGAATATTACTTTAAATAGAAAATTCAGAAATAATTCAGTGTATTGCATAAGAAAGCTAGTTAGATGTATTCAACTTACTGTTTTGAAA